CACATAGAGACAAACGAGACAAACAAACATTCACTCTCTCACTCACACCTAGGGACAATTTAGAGTTACCAATCAGCCTAACATGCATGTTTTTGGACTGTGGGAGGAAACCGGAGTACCCAGAGAAAACCCACGCATGCACGGAGAGAACATGCAAACTCCACCCAGAAAGGCCCCTGGACCGGGGTTTGAACCGAGGACCTGCTCGCTGAGAGGCAGCAGCTCTACCAGTTGCGCCACCGTGCTGCCCTCCACCTGCCTCCACCCTCATTTATTAGTTTATTGTTTATTTGTCATATGCAGATGAACACAAGGTCAACGATGCAATGAAATGCTCAGTAGAAGTATTTTTGTTCAATCTACAGTGGTGTCCTAATGCTGAATAAATGGAAATAAATGGGAAGATATTGCAGAACGGCGAGTATTTGGCATTTTAAATAATGCTATGGTTCAAAAATAAAAATATGTTTTCAGGTCCACGTTCTAAAAAAAATGCTTCTCTCATAAAACAAATAGCACGATTATTAACTGCACAATTCCTTTTGTTCAGATTTTTGTATATTCACTTTGCGTTTGTGTAAATATGTTTTTAACATCTGTGTGCACAGGTGGCCTTCCACTTCCAGCCGTACAAGGGATGGTCTGATCGGAGCATGCATGACAACATCAGATATATTATTGATAAGTAAGGTTTTTCTTATGGTTTTCTTTGTGCTGGATTAATTTCCTTTCCCTGCATAAAAACTTTATTTACAGTCACTGTATGACACAGCAACTGCTGCATTTTGGTTGAATGGAAAAATTTTAGGGAGTGTTCCCATCCAGATAATAAAGAATTACAATAGTGTTAAAACTCTCCATATTAGGCCATTTCATAACATTTATTTCACATGGGTACTTTCAGTATTTATTATAATTTACATGTTTTCTATATGTACTGTATGTATATCGATTCAGAATCAGAATAATCTTTATTATCATTGTACCAAGATACAAGAATATGTCCGTACAGTCGTCCGAAAGATGGACAGAGTGCACGTAGCTGCTGCTGTGATAGCGCGGCCTTCTTATACTTTACAGAGTACATTTTTTTAGATAGAAAAAGGGACAAAAGCCATGAGGAGAAGATAGTGGCATTACAAAAAAGATTTCTTTACACCTTGTCCTAGCAGGACACGATTTAAGACAACAAAATACTCAGCCAGCAGCAGATTTATGAACATGTTACATGTGCATTTCATGACGATCCATGAAGCACTAACAGATAGACCATTGTCCTGATAAGATGATGGTCAGCCGGCACGGTTCTGATAAGCTTCCAAAGAAGATGTGTGAGTGTGTGTGTGTGTGTGTGGGGGGGGGGGGGGGGCGATAGACGAAGCTTTTCCTTAATTTACACATTTCAGAATCAGAATAAACTTTATTGGCCTTGCACTGAGATACAACGAGAACATGTACGTACAGTCGGAGTGCACGAAGATGGGCGGAGTGCACAAAGCTGCAACTATAGAAAGCATGGACTTTTCTTATCCTTTATCAGATAATAATCTTAGATAGGAAAAGGGGGAGAAACATGAGGGTAGACAGTGGTATTACCATAAAAGATCTTTCACATCTTGTCTATCAGGACACGATTTGAGACATCAAAAACCTCAACCAGCAGCACAATTAAAACATGATTACATTTGCATTTGACATCAAGATGTTGAGATTTGTCCATGAGTTTTTTCAGATCATCCACAGTTTCTGAAGATGTAGTTTCAGCCAGCAGTTCTGATAAGCTTGCACAGAAAGTTCTTGGGGGGCATGATAGATGAAGCTTTTGTCCTTGGTTACTCATGTCCCAGGAGGAATTTGATAGTCGGCCCGTCTCCGAGGCAGTCGGGAGTCAGATTCAGATAAGCTTTGATTCTTGTTTTTCTTCAGGCAGACAGATTACTTTTTCCTTCAGCCTTGAGTCCATCTGGACGTTCTGGTTCCGAAAATGCCTAATTGTGGGATTCCATTCCACTGATCCATGTCATGAGTCTCCTTCAAGGTCGAACCCACCACGCTGACGAGTCCCAGAAGCCGCAGGTGGCCTGCGATTCTCAATCGCCTCCTCCTTACAGTTTAGCTCATAAACCAGATGATTTAAAGTTCCTACTGCACGGACCAAACCTTCACACTGACTCGGAAGCTTTGTCATGGCCGAAACAGCTGCCGCCGTCTGCTTCAATAGTCGATAAAACAGAGCCCCGCCGATGCCAACAAGCAGAGTCCCTGCTATCATAAATCCAAATATGTAAACATCTTCAACATCCTCCTGAGACAGGACTGAGTGGCACATCATCTGCCACACTCCCCATGGGTCCATGACGTGCCCCACAGCGTGAGTCTCAGCTGGACACACCGGTTCTCCAAGACCTTGTCGCTTTGATGAAAAAATCTTATCAATAGAGTTGAACGCCCACGATACCAAATCCATAATCTTCTTAATTTATGTTCGGGAGATGTGAACCAGGCACTTCAGACACACAGAGAGCAGAGCAGGAAGAAGGAAAAACGGGGGAGGAATGACAGAAGCAGCCGCCTCGATGAGAGCCAGGGAGGAAAAAAGGAAAAAAAAATTCCCATGAGAAATTGATGTTGGCCTGTTTCGAGGCCAACCGGGGAGTCAGATTCAAATAATATCTAACTTTGTTAGATTTAACTTCCTGGATTATTGAACATGCATCTAAACTGAGAAGAGTTTCAGATGCCTGCAACAGCTCTACAACAATTTTGATAAAAAAAATAAAAAAAACGTGTCTTTTTTGTGCAAATTGAAAGTTAAAGTGACAAAACTTTGTACTTATACTATGCTTCAAATCTACTGATACTTTATTACTAATCCTGCAAGGAAATGGAGAACCCCTGCTAATGCTGCATGAGATTTTGGAAACTGCCTCACAAGCGCTGTTCACCAACAGCTGTTGTTGACTTAAACAGTAAATTTATTTCAAATGCTTTCATCATATTAAATGTAATTTCTTCCCTTTGATTCTTCTCAGATATGGAAACCACGATGCCTTTTACAGATTCAGGAAAAGCACAGGGCAAGTCCTGCCCATGTTTTACATCTATGACTCCTACCTTACACCACCTGAATCCTGGGCAGAACTCCTGACAGCTAAAGGCTCCCAAAGCATCAGAGGCACGCTTTATGATGGGATTTTTGTTGCCCTCATTGTCGAGGAGCGCCACAAACATGACATCCTGGCAAGTGGATTTGATGGGATTTACACCTACTTTGCTTCCAATGGCTTTTCCTTTGGTTCCTCACACCAGAACTGGAAAGCCATCAAGACCTTCTGTGATGCAAACAATTTGCTGTTTATCCCCAGCGTCGGACCAGGATATGCAGACACAGCAGTGCGTCCATGGAATAGCCACAACACCCGAAACCGAGTCAACGGACGTTACTACGAGACATCCCTGCAGGCAGCTCTGGCTGTCAGACCAGAGATTGTCACCATTACTTCCTTCAACCAGTGGCATGAAGGCACTCAGATCGAGAGGGCTATACCCAAGAAAACTCTGACTCGTTTGTACATGGACTACAAGCCAAATGACCCAGACCACTATTTGCAGCTCACACGCCAATGGGCTGAGAACTTCAACAAGGAGAAAGATAAGTGGCTATTGTGAACGTGTCTCCAGCTGCTGGTAGATGCTCTGAGCAGAACCAGGAAGTACGTTAAGGCCCCGTTTACACGAGAACAACTTCTGGAAACGTTAGTGTTTTTTCAATGTATATTAGGGGTATAAACAAAAAAAGAGAGGGTTTACACAAAAACGCTATAGTTTCCATGTCAGTCGGGTTGCCAGATAAGAAATGATGAAGTATAAAGTGATAGTATTTTAACCTAAACTGTCCTCTGTGCTGAGTAAAGATAATCTAAGATGAGGTGTGTGTTGTGTTTGTTGAACATGTGCACAGAAAAGGAGGGGGTAAATAAGACATTTTAAATTTATCTGGCAACCCTGATGCAGAGCTCAGCTGCATTCACTGTGCAGTGCACGCAGTGTCTGCATGACAGTTAATCCAAACTGGTGAATACACCAACGTCTCTTTGGAGCCTGGATTTTATTAGTTTCGCTCCTTCATGGTGAAAAAGGGTGATCAGCACAAAAACACTGCTCTCTGACATTTATTAAAACTGTTGTTAGAGCAGGAAAACTTTGGACTGCAGCCACCTGGAGTGTGCATGTGCCACTTCACACTTGCAGCATTTCATACATCCGTGGGGGTTTCCCCAAAAATCTTCACTCGGACAAGTCTCGTAGCATTTTTATGCTCATTATATTTTATCCAACTCTGAAAATGCCCTTAAAATGATCTCTGATCCTGTGTTTCGACTCACCATTGATGAAGACATGAATAATGTTATTGACTAATTAGAGCTTCAACATCATGGTCAAACAAGTCATTATTATTATCTGCTGAGTATTTGTTGTAAAATCAAACACTGCAGTGATGAAGAGAAAGAGCATTTTTAAATGTTTTTTCTCCCTGTTTTACTACAAAATGATGGGTTTTACTGTATTTTCTTTCTGACCAATTAAAATATGTAAAATGTGTGTTTAACGTTGGAGAATCATTATTAGTTGCTATGTATAAAAGTCAAATGAAACTGTGGGTCACATTCTACAGCCCATCCTGGGGTTTCTCTAATAGACCAACAGGCATTTCAACAGGTTCGCTCACCACACGTGACATTTCTCATGCTAACAAGAGCGAGCTCAGTAAACAGATGGCTAAGAAAGAATGGGGTTCATTTTAATCTGTTTATGATAGACTGTCCACCAAGTTCAGACAGATGTACAGATTATCATAAATCATTAGGTTTTATACCCAGAGTAGCAGACTGACAATAAGAGAACCAACCGCTCAAATAAAATGGTAAGTGAAAGTTTATTTACAGTGTCCAGGTGGAGAGGGAACGTAGAACAGGTGATGGTTGAACATGAACTTTGATGTAGAACAGGTGGGTATGTTGTGCAGATATTTTAAGAAGGATATAAGTACAGGACAATTTGCTCACTTCCTCTTTCTGTTTTGAAGACGGGTGAGTGTGAAGAGTGGGAGAGTAGCGAGACGGGAACCCAGGAAGCTGATCTGATGTGATTGTAGGTTGAGGACAAGAAGAGTGGAGGATGTCCAGGCTGAGACGTTGTGTTGCAGACACAAGAAGTCAGGGTTTCCAGAGTTAGACACAGGGACAGGACTGGAAGACACAAGGGAAAAAGTACAGGTTAGTCACGTCTCTCTTCAGTAAGTCAGGAGTTACTAGTGTTGTAATGTAACGAAGTAGAAATACTTTGTGACTGTACTCAAGTAGCATTTTGACACATCTTTATTTTATTTTGTTATTTACATTTCTAGTGACTGTCACTTTTACTCCACTACATTTCCTCAATAAAATGTGTAGAGCGATATGGGGCTGGATATATATTGTTAATTATCAGTTATGAGTTAAGCTCATAAGATATGCATGTATTATGCAAATAATTTTGTTGTGAGGGCACCACCTCTCTCTGGGAGAGGAAAATCAGTTTCTGTTTACCCCAAATCAATGTAAACTGAAACGCGAGTTCTTTTCTCGTGTTTAAAGGGCATCAAATCAGTTAATGCACACAGATATGCCAAAAGAATCACAAATTCAGTTGATTTGATGCATTTTATTATAAAAATAACAATCTGTGATATAAATGATGAAAATTATGCATAACAAAAGTTAACTGAATAACAAATAGTTTTGCATCAAAGGTCTAATTGATTATTCAAATTAGTGAAACTTAAAAGGCAGATTTTGGACTGGTTACTGTTTGTGAAGTGGTTAAAAATTGTGTCTAAGGTGAGCTAAGTTTGTCTGAAGAGTTGTGATGTAGGTTCACCAGAAAGGCATTGAAAAGTGTGTCCTACCATCAGAGCATGGGTTCGACAGCTGCTTAAAATGGTGCCAGTCCAGATGTTGCAGTTACTAAGAGGCGGAAATCTCCTCAAAGTTCACCTGTCATCGTTAGAGGGCCAAAGGTCCATTTGGCAGTCAGCTGGGATGTACCACTCTGCGGAGTGATGGTTCTGGTTCGGTGAGGTTCTGTATCTTTCTCTCGTCCTGAGACGTCTGCAGAAGGGAAGCTTCTCTCCTCAGTTCTCTGTGCAGAAGCGTGTTACAGAGTTGAAGGTCCACCTCAGGAGGGGTGGTCCTAACTCTTGGCTGTGTTTTTTAAAAATAAATTTAAAATGCCTTTTCGCTGCCTTAAAAGTTTTCCTTTTAAAAGAGAAGACAAATGTATTATCTTAAAGAAAGATTACTTAAACACACATTTTCATGAATAAACATTCAGATATGACATATTTTGAATCAAACTTAAAACATGCAATGTTTTACCAAAAGGTGTCGCTGTACATCTCCTGAAAAGGAATGTCATTAAACAAAGGGTTCTTATGGTGTTATCTTCATGGGAACGGGTCTGAGAGAAATACTCCTGTTTGATAAGGGAAGATATCAACGTAGTGAGTTCGGATGTTCCAAAAACCTCGAGGTTCAGTTGAACCAAAAGCTCTCATTAAAACGATCTGTCCGTTTCATGGGAAATGAGTTCATATTGGCAGTGAAGTTAACACAGTGACAGGTTGTTTTTTTTTTTACATTACATTCACATTAGTGTCAACTAAGAAGTTTGTGAGCTGAGCTGAATATTTGTAAAACAATGTCTGTTCATTCCAAAGGGAATAGATGAATCTTATTTTTACTGTTTCAAACACAAAACACAGGAAGGATGTTTGTTTGAGATGAGGTGTTCTTTGTCGGAGGTGGTGTTCCCCTACAAATGTGTACTTTTACTTCAATACATTTCCCTCAACCATCTTTGTTACTCGTTCCTACAATGTAAAATTAGAAGAAATCCGATTGGGTAATGCCTGATTGTTCTCCCAGTCTGTGACTTCACGCGGACCCTTCTCTCTTCCTCACTCACAAACCCAGCCCCTCCGCCGCCGCTTGGGTGAAAACTGCGGCGCTGCAGCTCCCGCTGTTAACAAGCTAGATGCAGATATCAGTCATTACAATGAGTCTTTGTTGACTCACAGTGGAGACACTGTAAATTCCTGATAGGTGTGAAAATGACGGTATCTGCTAAAAAGGAGAAGTTTGGTGTTCTCCAGGACATTAAGAGCAGCAAGGTATGAAGTTGTCGAGCCACAAGTCTTCCCATTAAAGAACACGGAGACAGATATCCAGTTTAGGATGATTTATTTGCTGTGTTTCTTCTGGTGTTTACACACATCAGTAAACCAGTAAAGCACAAACAAGCTTGAACAACAAGGCTCCGTCCGTGCTGGGAGACAAAAAAACCTCGAACTGAGCTCTGCACTTTACACAGAGCGGTGCGTTCACTAGCTTCAGAACAGCCACGGTGCATTCAAGAGCTTAGGAACTATTAATTTCAGAAAGAAACAAGCCATAACCAAACAGAACCTAGCTCAGTAAACAAGCCAAATACACAACAATGTGGGCTTTCTTGTTAATAAAGCTTGAATGAATATACTTCATTAGAATCAGACTTTTTAAAGATCAATCTTTCATTGTTCAGTTCAAACTTTCCAAGTTTTTATCACTGGATATTGCACCCAATAAATGTTGTTTTGGAAATTCTAACCATTCACTTTTACTTAATACTTTTACTTTAAGTACATTTTATATGAGAAATTGACTTTTGTTACTTAAGTACATTAAATGTCTGATACTTTAAGACTTTTACTCAAGTAATAATTTTTAAAGGAGAATTTAACTTTTACCAAAGTAATTTTATGGTAAGATACTTGTACTTTCACTGAAGTGTCACTTTGAGGTACTTTATACAACACTGCCAGAAGTTAGTGTATGTCCAACCAGTGTTGCCAGGTGAGAAATGTAGGATTATCGTACTAGAGACAAAATTATCGTATTTTGAGGGAAATTATCGTACACCCGTCATAACCAAAATAAATCTTTTAATGCACTATAGTAGTGATGGGTCCGCTTCCAGACCAGCTCTGCTTCTTCTTCTTTTCTTTTCCTCACTCATGGGGCGGGCGCAGCGGACTATTCAGCCAATCATGGCCGTTGTTCTGAGGCAAACGCGTAACTCATAGTTAACATTTAGAAAAACAAACAGATGCCTTCAGGGTTCACAAAAAAAACCCTCCAACAGTTACGAGAGGCTGATGACAACCGATTACAACCACACATTCATGGAACGGTCAAATTATCGTATATTTGGTCTTTTATTGGAATTATTGATCGTACAGAGGGCAAAATTGTCGTACGAATACGATAATTATCGTACACCTGGCAACACTGTGTCCAGCTGACGATCTTCTTCTTCTTCAGTTTTATTTGACGGTTGGTATTCAAGTTTTTGAAGCATTACCGCCATCTGCTGGTTTGGATTGTAACTGGAATCATCTGGGCCCAAGCTTCTTAAATCCCAGAAGCTCGTCAGCTAGGATCAGAGTCAGCTGTAGGAGCTGCAAAGAATTGGTTAAAGAGTATTCTGGAATGCCACACATTCAGCCATTCAGAAAATAGTATTCTTTTCTTCTCGGGTAAGATCTGAGCTCTGCCATATACATACAGATGTATTTAAATCATGTACCATAGTCATATAAGTTTGCCTAAAGAAACAATTTAAGTTGTGGTTTATCTTTACAGTACAAGAAGAAATACAACTGACATAAACAAAGTATACTACAGCATACTACAAAGTATAAAAGATGAAAAATGGTCTCCTGAACACAAGTGGTTCTACCAAAGAATGGTTCAAGAAGAATAACGTTCATGTTTTGGAATGGCCGAGTCAAAGTCGTGACCTTCATCCAATCCAGATGTTGTGGAAGGACCTGAAGCAGCAGTTAATGTGAGGAAACCACCAACAATGATCTCACACACACAAATAGACAAATGTTCATAAAATCCTCCAGGACCACCTGTACTGTATTCCAGGTATCTTTTTATACGATTTCCTTAATTTCTTTTCATTGTGATTGTCCATCATTGCTTTGGACAGGTCTTCAGAACGTTTTTCTTAGTAAAGTTTTGATATGCTCCGTTTTATTTTTAAGATGTGGTGTGATTGAGAAGGTTCTCAAAGTATTCCTTCCACCAGCTGACCTGATGTGGTAGAGGAAAAAACAAGTAAAGAAAATGGATGGATGTACAAACAGATAGTTCTGGACTCCTGGGAAATGTTTCAGAACCGTGTGCATTAGCTTTGAAAGGCAGACGGTAATGAAGCCTTAAAGGAAACGCATGAAAAAAGTCCTCCATGTGTCCAATGAGGTCTGCTCGGAGTAAACGCTTGTGCTATTCTGAAACCACTTCATGTGCACCAAGTGGAAACATCTCCATTTTTGATGTATGGGTGGCACAGTGTACTTGAACCTTGGGGATGAACACTTCAACATATTCAAAATGGTGGCTGAAGCAGAAGTGACATTATTCACCATGCACATTATTGTGCCAGTAAGAGTTGTTTTCCCTGTATCATGGTGGTGCAGTTGGTAGAACTGTCACCTCAGCAAGAAGGTTCTGGGTGGAGTCTGCATGTTCTCTCTGTGCATGTGTGGATTTTCTTCAGGTACTCCAGTTTCCTCCCACAGACCAAAAACATGCATGTTAGACTGATTGGCAACTCTAAATTGTCCCTTCGTGTGAGTGAACGGTTATTTGTCTCATCTGTCTTTGTGTGTCCCTGTGATGGACTGGTGACCACGTGTCCCCCGCCTCTCGCAGTGATGGCTGGATATGGGCACCAGTGACCCCCGCGACCCAAAAAGGAAGAATCGGGTAAAGATGATGGATGGATCTTCTTTAATGAGACACTTCTGCATTGTTTAATCTGTCCAGTAGTGGTGACCCATTCCTTAATATAAAGAATGATGCTTGAAATGTTCTGATTTGCTACATGTAGCTCGTGGGCAGCCAATGGCAAGGTCAACTTTTGCATGGTTAAAGTTATATCATGCAACGGAAAGAAACTACAGTACTGTATGTGAACACGGTTCAGAAATGCTACCGTCTTATTTGGACCAAAGCTCATTTACAACTGACAGAGGCAAAAAACTGTTCTGGGATAAGTCAAATCAAAGTTTGACTCATTTGGAAACCACATCTGTACTAAAGAGGAAGGGACCATCAAGCTTGTTATCAGTGCAGATTTCAAAAGCCTGCTTCTCTGGTGGTATAGGGGTACATTAGTGCTTCTGGCAGGGGCAGCTTCTGTTTCTGGAAAAGAACATGGATGCAGAAAAGAACGCACAGCTTTTAGAACACACACTTCCATTCAGCAAAATGTCTTACAAAGAAGATCCAGGCGTGATGAACAGCTGGAATCCTTCACCAGGCAAGAAAGGGACAATATTCCCCTTCAACAGCTGCAGCAGATGTTCTCCTCAGATGTTCAGACTGTTGGTAAAAAAAAGAGGGGATTCTTCACAGTGAGAAACAAGGACCCAGACAATTATTTTTAATGTGTTGCCATTCAGTGCACTTTTTTTTTTAAATCCCAAAAGTTTGACTTTTCTCACTAAGAGACTAATAAAAGATTATTCTGTTGTTCTACAGCGAGAATTTCTTTAAAAATGTGAGATGTTTTCTGTTCCATTGTGGTTTGCAAATCATTGCGTTGTTTGTATTCGTGTTTGACACAACATCCCAACTTTTCCTGAATTGAATTTTAAAAATTACACAGAAAAATATAATAAAAAAAAAAAAAGTATTTTCATTAAACATAAACAGACTTGTCAATTATATAATTATTTTTTTCTCTCTTTCATCAGTGCACTACTTTTTCTTTTTATTCCGTTCTTGTTTTGTGCTTCGTATTTAGTGCACTGTAAATATTGTCAACTAATGCAATAAAAAAACAGCAGACTGAGAAACTCGAACACATTACAGCCAGTGTTTAATTAAGTATTCATTGTGTTCGTCTCATTAAGCATCAAATTTACAGTAAACTAACCACTACTGTCATACATGACACTCCATGTCACAAATCTGCAGGGACAGAAAGAATACCGTGATTACAGTGCATGAACACACATTCTGATGTCATGCACTAATATCACCACCAGCTTGGGGGTGATTAAACACGCTCACTTAGTATAAACATTTTTACATCAAACATGAAGAATACACATTTAGACGACTAAAGAAAAAAAAAATCAAAGAGGGAAAAAAAGACAACATTTCTAAAAACGATGCTACAAGAACAAAAACAGCATTAAAGCTTTCATGACCATATTAACATTCAGTGTATTGGAAAATACATTCCCAATAAACTCTCCGTATAAAAAGAAGCTCTTCAAGTCAGCATGGAACAAAGAACAGTTCATAAGTCAGGAGGTGGGGCCAGGGGTGGGTGTGCTTCCATAGCTTAGGGGCGTGTTGGAGTTGTGTGCGCTGTTAGGTGGGGGCGTCACCGTCAACCAGGCCAGACTATGTGGCGTAGCGTTTGGTCCACTGTTTGGCTATCCTGTCGTGCTCGAATCTGTTGGTCAGGTACTGGGTGGCGATGCTTCCAACCAGAGGGTCCGCTGCAACACAAGCACCAAGACTGCAGTGAGACACCCACAAACAAATGGTAAATGGACTGTACTTATACACATCCTTTCTCTCTGATCAAGATA